AAAAAAAAAAAAAAAAAAAGAAACATCTTTCAACCTCTGTACAAGTACCTTGCACATTAAAAAAAAAAAATACATGGTAGCTGTTACTATCGCCACTGTTTTTTTTTTTTTTTTTTTTTCCCTGAGTCACAGCTTCACACTTTGTCATCCAGGCTGGAGTGCAGTGGCACAATCATGGCTCACTGCAGCCTCCATCTCCTGGGCACAGGTAACCCTTCCGCCTCAGCCTGCCACATAGCTGGGACTACAAGAACATACCACCATGCCTGGCCAATTTTTTCATTTTTTGTAAAGATGGGGTCTTCCTATGTTACACCTAGGCTGGTCTCAAACTCCTGGGTTCAAACAATCCTCCTACCCTGGCCTCCCAAAGCACTGGGATTACAGGCATGAGCCACTGCACCTGACCAGGTTTATTGTGTTGCTTTTTTTAGACTTCATAGGTTGCCTGAGCTCAGATTCAAGATGAGCCTGGGCAACGTGGTGAGACCTCTCTCTCCAATTTAAATCAAAATATTAGCCGGGCATGGCAGTGCGTGCCTGTAGTTCCAGCTACTTGGAAGGCTGAGACAGAAGGATCTCCTGAGCCCAGCAGGGCAAGGCTGAGGTGGCTGTGAGCATGCCACTGCACTCCAGCCTTGGGCAACAGAGTGAGACTCCAACTCAAAAAAAAAAAATTATGGGAGGCTGAGGCAAAAGATCAGGTTGAGGCTGCAGTGGCCACCAGCGTGCTACTGCACTCCAGCTTGGGTGACAGAGAGACTCCAGCTCAAATAAATAAACTTCATAGGAGCCTGAAGGTTCTCGTGAGATGGAGGCGCAGGTAACACAGCCTGGCATGGTAGGCAGGTACCCTTGAAGAATAGATACAAAAACCAACACAGGCCTGAAGCAAGGAGGTGGTCTTAAGAAAAGCTTCCTTATATATAATATAAAAAATATATATATTGGGGCCTCATTTCTCCTTCAGCACAGGGGAGGAAAGAACTCTGTTCTACTACAATCTCCTCAGATTTTTTTTTTTTACTTGGAGTCTCACTCTTGTCACCCAGGCTGTACTGCAGTGGCACGCTCACGGCCACCACAGCCTCCACCTACTCGGCTTGGGCCATCCTTCCGTCTCAGCCTTTCAAGTAGCCAGAACTACAGGCGCACGCTACTAAGCCCAGCTAATTTTTGATTTATTGTAGAGACCAGATCTTGCCAAGTTGCCTGGGCTGGTCTCGAATCCACAGGCTCAGGCAATCCACTCGCCTCAGCCTCCCCAGGTGCTGGGATTACAGGAGGAGCCACCGAGCCCAGCCAAGTCTGTCACCCAGGCTGGAGAGAAGTGACAGTCACAGCTCACCAAAGTCTCAACCTCCTGGGCTCAGGCAACTCTCCCACATGAGCCTCCAGAGTAGCTGGGACTGCAGGCACACACAGCCACACCCAGCTGATATTATTTTTTTTGCAGAGACAAGGTCTCACCATGTTGCCCAGCATAGTCTCAAACTCCTGGCCTCAAGGGATCATTCCCACCTCAGCCTCCCAAAGTGCTGGGATTACAGGTATGAAACACTGCATCTGGCCAAAGACAGTTATATAGCTAAAAGACACAGGTTCAAATCCCAGCCCCACCTCTCACTAGCTATACACTTAAGCATCCCCTCAAGTGAGGATAACAAGACATACATAACTCATCACCTAGCAGCAACTGGCCTATAGCAAGGACACCTAAGTGTTACCAAGTACATCCTCCAGGATGTTTTTGTCCATAGTTGCCCAAGGCTTACAAATACCATTTGAGGGCCTGTACTGCCCCAAGATCAATCAAGAGTGCCCCTCCAGCACCACCAGCAGGATCATTCTGTCACTCAGTCCTGATTGTTATCTTGATGGTTCTGGAAGGCCCACCCCAGTTCAGACCACCTCAGACAGCTCCAGCATCTTGGAGTGCATCCCCAGTATGCAGAGCAGTCCCCAACCACATCAAACAGCAACATTCCTGCCAAGCCCCAGAACTGGTTTTCAGAGGCATTCAACAAAGTGAGGAACAACTCATAGAGATGACTAAATAATTCATAAATTTAAAAAATACCAGCTGGGAACACACCTCTAATCCCAGCAAAGTACTTTGAGAGGCCAAGGTGAGAGCATTGCCTGAGCCCATGGGTTCAATACCAGCCTCGGCAACTTGGTGAGACATCTCTAAAACAAATAAAAAAAAAAGCTGGGCATGGTAGCACGTGCCCTGAAGTTCCAGCTACTTGGAAGGCTGAGGTGGAAGGATGACCATATCCCAGCAGGTCGAGGCTGCAGTGACCAAGAACATGCCACTGCTGGTGGCGGGGAGCAGTCACTGCACTCTAGTCTGGGTGACAGAGTGAGACTTCAACTCAAAAAAAAAAAAAAAACTAGAACAGAAACAAACCTGGAGGACCATCCCACTTTTCTGACGCCATGCAGAAATGTCCCCCACCCAGCCCCTGTGCCAAGGACTCCCTCCAGGATACTCCAGATCTCCCACACCAACAAAAATCCCAAAGAAAAAGAGAATAGTATCTGATACAAATGTTTTTTGCTCAAAATCTCCCATTCAAGCTTTACACAACATAAATAAGCAGCAGAGTCAGGCATGGTGGGTCACATCTAGAATCCCAACACTTTGGGAGGCCAAGGCAAGACTGCTTGAACCCAGGAGTTTGAGACTAGCATGGGCATCTTGGTGAAACCTCAACAGTAGATCAGAAGAATTAGGCGTGGTGGCACTTGCCTATAGCTCCAGCTACTTGGAAGGCTGAGGTGGAAGGATCACCAGAGCCCAGCAGGTCAAGACTGCAGTGGCCGTGAGCATGCCCCTGCACTCCAGTCTGGATGGCAGAATGAGACCCCAACACAAAACAAAAATTAATGCACATTTTGGGTCCTGGACCTGAGTTAGAATTTTTTACTTTTTACTTTTTTTGAGTTGGGATCTCACTCCGTTGCCCTGGCTGGGGTGCCAGCTTCAACCTGCTGGGCTCCGGTAATACTTTTCCACCTCAAGTCTTTCAAGTAGCCAGAACTACAGGCACACGCTACCAGTCGTTTTTTGTTTTTCTTTAATTGTAGAGATGAGGTCTCGGCAAGTTGCCCACACTGGTCTCAAACCCAC